AAAAAAAAAAAAAAAAAAAAAAAAAAAAAAAACAAATATATGATATTTCATAATATAAGTTCATTTTTCTTGTTCAAAAAATATGATAGGTCGACCCGTCTAATCGTTAGGCCGTCTCACACAAGAATCAGTCATGCACGATTTGATCCAAGTGAATTAACTGTAGCAAGTTTATACAAAGCATATATCATTTGCAAAATTACAGTCAATCTTGCCATCACTAATTTAAGTTCAAAAAAGAATAAAAGCACCATTTTAAGACAGCAAAAACTCCACTCTCTCTAAACTTTTTCTTTACCCTTTCTCAGTTTTTCGAGTTCGGTTTCAGCATCTCTGAGCTGCTCTCTTAGAGTCGAAACCCTCAGCTCGAGCTCTTCAACTGTTCCTCTGTTAATCGATGGTTTATAAGGTGATAAAAAGTTGCAGGAAAATGCTTTCAAGGCTTCAACCCCACAAACCTGTTAAAAAATAATACAGTTAGTCGAGTTATATTGTGAACTGGAGAACTATCACTATGGGCGCGATTGGATATGAATCCAACCAGTTTTGAACGGTTTTGTTTGGTTACAGACTTACAATGAGTTAAAGTGAGTTATTTTGAATAAAGTAGAATAATGGATTCTGATTTTGAAACTAAATAATATTTAAAATGTAATGACTAAAGTTAATGTGATATAAAATTAGGAGAGAAATTATTGGAAGTGATAGTTAGTTAAAATTATGTGAGTGCATGGATAGCGGATTAAAGTTAATATGATGTATGAGAATGATTGATTGATATTATTTAATTATATTAATAAAAAGTATGAGACTTGGGTTAAGTTGGATTTTGAGTTACATGATTGGATATGAAATACTTCAACCGGTTAGAAACGATTATTAACTCATATCCAATCACGCCCTAAAGGAACAAACTAAAGTAGAACCAATCCATATAAAATACCTCTTGAGGTAGCAAAGGCAGCTTAGTAAGTTAAAAACGATTATTAACTCATATCCAATCACGCCCTAAAGGAACAAACTAAAGTAGAACCAATCCATATAAAATACCTCTTGAGGTAGCAAAGGCAGCTTAGTAATGTGAAAATCATCGTATAGCATGTAAAACTGATCCAAGTATTTTTGCTGCATGCGCATTCGAGCTTTGAGCAATCTTGACTGAACAACTGTATAGGCATAAAAAAAAAGCAA